TGTTTGGGCATTTGGTTCAGTAGCCATCAATTCTAATTTATAAAACAAAATTATAATTAGAATTTACACTACATAGAAAATTAAACCAAATTCACAGAATTAAATTCTGTAAAAAATAAAAGAAACAAGAATGTAACTTTTATTTTTCAATTAATTTGGAAATAAAATAAAATTTTATTCAACCAAATTAATTCCACACATAAAATTAATTTCTGTAACACTTCAATAATTAAAAAACTAAAAACAGAATTTTAAGTAATGAATACTCAGAAAATAATTTCTAAAACCCAAAATTAATTTCTGAAAAAATTTCACAAAAATATATTCTGAATTGTTAATGACACCAGTATCGTACTACTAGTTGTCAAAGAAAATAGACAGTATATTACTACTATCTGTCAAATAGTATATAATCACTATTTGTTTTTCCAACCAGAATATTATTTTGTAAATTTACAGAAAATAATTTTCTTAAAAGAAGAAAGAGAAAAGGAAACAAATGAAAAAATTCTGTAAACAGAATAGATTCGAATCTGTCTTAAGATTGTTGAAACAATCTTCTGCGTAAATAAAATAAATTGAAACTAAATCAAACAAAATAAATAAATAACATACCGAATTTATTTATCGAACCGAATTTGAAAATTCAAAGACCAAGTCGAGTGTGTGACACTCTATCCTTAAGACAGATTCGCCCCGCTACGGTGCTTACGGTTGAGTGGCGTCTATCTCCCAAGATACAATGATCTTCACAAATTTGTAGAAGCACTTCAAACAAATTTGTTCGGCGAATTAGAACCTGTGTTCTATACTCTCTTTATTATTTTCCTAAAACTAGAATTTAGGAAAATGCACTAAATAAAAGAATTGGACAGCAACAAGGTATTTTGTAGACTTATTTTTCTGAATGTAAACACTGCTGGAATAGCAGGTATATATAGGCAAGAAAACCTGACCCGAACAGGTGTATTTCCGAAGTGAACAGGTACAAAACATGGACAGATTCAGAATTTGAATTCAAACTGTTTTACTGACCGTTACACATGGAACAAAATTCCTTCCAAACAATTTTGAAAAGTAGACGTTGGTTTGTGGAACACAAATAAACCTGTTGAACTTTATTATATAAACTATTTTGAATATTATATATATATATATATTAAACAAATTGAATAGTTTAATAAATAAAGAAAGAGGTACAAATTTTAGGAAACTACTTAGGAATCCAAAATTTAAATTTAGAATTAAATTAAATTTCCACAATTACAAACTTTAGGAAACCACTTAAGAACTCAAAATTTGAATTTAGAATTAAATTAAATTCCCACAATAATTTTTATTGAAAAAATTCAAATGAATTTTATCTAAAAAGTTAATGTTAGACCCGAAAACGACGTCAACTTTCCATTCACTCATAAATGGTTTTGACGTTCCGTCTTCCCTGTGTGACTTGCCACGCGGCAAGAAACACTTCACCTCTTCGGACCCACCCCAAAAGACGTTTGGGGTCCACTCAATTTTAGGCTCAAAGTTAGCTCAAAATATGCCTTATATAAACCAATTTTCCAACTGATGAAAAATCATGTGTCACGTGTAACGCACGCGACCAATTACTAATACATTAGAAAATTTCAAAACAATTGAAAATAATTTCATTTTTATAAAAGTGCAAGTTCTTTTTTATTAGGTGCAAGTCCGAGTGCATTCAAAAGATTCTTATATATATTTTAATTATTTTTTAAAAATATTTCACTCAAATGCTATTTTTTTCATATGTATATAAATGGGGTTTTGATAAAGTGGCATTAGTGTTCCAGCTGGGAAGCACATACAGACATACTCTGGATGTTGGAGCTAGAGGACCCCTCCATAATATTTGCACAACGAACAAGTAGCTAGCTATTTGGTGAACCCATCACATTTTGACTTTGTCTGAATAGTCCAAGGCATCACATAATAAACAAATGTATTTATACAATCATCTATGTTGTTCATTGTTAGCTCACTCAAAATCAATTGGTATTAAGGTTGTAAAGGGTGGTACCTCAATTGTTTAATAAAAGCTTTTAAACCTGTCAACCACTTCAATAGATTTATTGGAGGTATTTAATTTAAAATCAATTGGTATTAAGTAGAGAGGCCTTTAGACTATATCACTATATTAAATGAGCTTATGTGACTTAAGAAAACATGTAATTATTCAGTAATTTGGGAGTACGGTCACGTGGTATTTTATGGTAATATGATTGGTAAAAAATGTAGAATATTGATTATTTGTATTGAGTGATTGAGGAACATGAGAGGGTATAATGAATAGTGATTGGTGAATGAGTATGACCCCGTAGTACTCTGGGATTATGACCACGTAGTACTCTGGGACTATTGTATAATTTTCCTAAACAACAATGTTGGACAAGTTTGTAATACTCCCTTACACCAACGATAAGGTCACATGTGGAGGTGATAGAAAGATAAGAGATAAAAGAAATAGATCAGGGATAAATTTATGAGGTCGTCTAAGATTAACTCTGATGTCATGTTAGATTTATTAGAAACATCTAACGCAAAATCAATTGACACTAAGTGAGGAGACCCTTAAACTATATTAACTAAATTTGGTGGACTTAGAGAGACGAAGTACAGCAAGATTCTAAAATGGACCTCGTACTATTATATGCTAATAATTTCTAGTTAGATGCATAATTAAAAATTAAAAAAATATTAAGTAGTCATAGAATATTACATGACATTGGGGTTGTTTGGTAGCACTTAAACGCAGCTTAAAGCTGCTTTTAGCTTAAATTAAGTTATTTTGGTGTGTTTGGTAAAACTTAAAGGGATAGATTATAGCTTTTATTAAACTATTTTCAGCTTAAATTTCTAAGCACCTCAGGGGGTGCTTCTTGGTTCAGCTTATACGGGAAGTTGAAATGGGAGGTGTAAAATGACTTAAATGCCCTTCCTAATTGATGCTAATTACAAGTGTGCCATGTATATAAACCATTTCTTACTCTCTTACACAAACGAGAGAGACGATTTCCGGCAAGCTAGTGTGATTTCCGGCGAGCATGTCAATTTCCGGCGACCGAGCTCTGTCTCTGTCTTTGTCTCTCTCTCTTTCCAGTGTCCATCGCGATCGACAGCGTCAACCCTAGCTCTCTCTTCTTATTCACGATCGATGCCGGTGGCGCGATTTGAACCATCGCGATCGACAGCGTGAACTCTAGCTCTCTCTCCTTCTTCGCGATCGACGCCGACAGCGCAATTTGAATCATCGCGATCAACAGCGTAACCCTAGCTCTCTCTCCTTCTTTGCGATCGACATCGGCGGTCTATCTGGCTTTGGCTCTCCCTATGGCTTTGGCTCTCTCTCTCGGTCAATCTGAAACCCTAGCGCCGGTTTGTCCCGTCGGAGCTAGGGTTTTCAGTTTTTTTTTTTTTTTTTTTTTTTGTCGTTGGAAGTTTTCAGTGTTCTTTTTAATAAAAAAAAAATAATAATTAATGAATAAAAAATAATAATTGATGCTAGTTAATAATTTTAATTGACACTAATTAATTTATAATGAAAAAATGAAAAACAAATTATATACCATTAATAATTTTACTATTAATTGATGCTTATTAAACCATTAATTGCCACTAATTAATTTATAATGAAAAAATGAAAAAAATTTATAGTAATTGATCCTATTAATAATTTTACTATTAATTGATGCTTATTAAACCATTAATTGCCACTAATTAATTTATAATGAAAAACAAATTATACTAATTAATCCTATTAATAATTTTACTATTAATTGATGCTTATTAAACCATTAATTGCCACCAATTAATTTATAATGAAAAAATGAAAAAAAAAATTATACTATTAATTGATGCTTATTAAACCATTAATTTTCATGATTAAAAAAATTATTTTTTAGAATTAATATTTACTAAAAACGAAAAATTACTAAAAATAATTAAAATGAATAATAATAAAGAATAAAAATAATATGAAAAATAATAATAATAATTGATAGACAAATTGATACTAATTTTAATAATCGATTAATAAATTAATAATAATAATAATAATAATTAATAATTGATGCTAATTTTAATAATTGATGAGCAATTGATAATTTTTATACTAAAATCACAATTAATAATAATAATAAAGAAAAGAAATACAGAGAAAGAAGAGAAGAAAAAAATTAATAATTTTGATAATGAATATATGAAAGATAATATGTAATGAAATCACAACATTAATATAAATTAGAATATGAATGTTAATTTTAATGAATTAATAAATTAAAAAAGAAAATAAGGTGAAAAAGAAAAGAAAATAAAATAAAATGAAAAAGAAAAAGAAAAAAATGTATTATAAATGAAATCACAAATTTTATATCTTATAAGGGAAAAAACGACAATTATACAAAAAAAATCTTTTTACAGCTTATTTACCAAACACTACTGCTTAAATCCATAATCCCACAGCTGAACCAAACAGGTTACTATCTTATGTTCACAGCTGTAAGTTATAATCTATAATCACTTTCCCACAGCTCTACCAAACGGGGCCATTATCTACATAGTGCTCTTGATAAGTGAAAAGCAAAAGACATTATTAACCATCCTTATCTCTCAATTACCTAACAAAAGTAAGTGACAGTAATATATGTAAGTCTGAATCTACTGAATAATTAACTATGAAAATCTTTTGCTTTAAAACTTGACTTGGATGGTTGATTACTGCTATGAATTTACAATTACCAAAGTATATATTGTGCACACTTGGGGAGTTGGAATTTCTCAAGTTTTTGGTAGGTAGGTAGGCCATATTGCCAGCCTATATGCATAACCTCTGGTTTGCTTTCTGCCTGGCATTGCCAATAGTATGCCCATGCATGCAATGCCACCTTTCTTCAGTTTTGCTATCTTTTCTCCTCCCTCAAATAAGCCTGCCCACCTTTCTCTCTCTCTCTCTCTGAGACTATAAATACAGTTAATATCTTCATTCTATGTACCAAGCCAAAAACCAGAGAGACTCATAGGTTCCTGCATATTACACCAAGCTCTCTTGATCACCACCACTCTTTTCACAACAAATTTATCATCAATGGCAATCTCTAAAGCTCTTATTGCTTCACTACTCCTTTCTCTTCTCCTTCTTGACCTTGCCCAAGCAGCGACCAATCAAGCAGTGGTAAACCTCTCTCAATCCCTCCAAAACAAAGCACATTGCATTAATCTTTTTAGATCTATTGTAATCATATTTTTACTAACCATATGCTACATGCACTATGCAGACTAGCAATGGTCTAACAGATATCAGCAAGCCCATGGGTAATTGTGCTTGTTATATATATTAATTGTGATATCCATTGCAGCTTCTGGTTTCAACTATTTTTTGATTGAATTTGAAAGTGAATTGTATGTTTTTTTATGTGTATAGATTGCGGGGCAGCTTGTGCAGGAAGGTGTAGATTGTCAAAAAGGCCAAGACTCTGCAAGAGGGCATGTGGGAGTTGCTGTGGGAAGTGCCAATGTGTTCCTGTAAAAAAATGATGTAATATTGATTGATTGATATTGTGTAAATTACAGATGGTGAGGTACTAATTATATAGGAGAGGATTGGGGAGTAGGTGAGTGTGTGTGGTAGGTGAGTTGAGTGGAGGTGGTAGGTGATGATATATTCTAACAGCCCCCCGCAAACTCAAGGAGGATAGAAACTAACCAACTTGAGTTTGGAGAGAGTAACAAAACAAGAAAATACATAAAAATAAGAAAATACATAAAACTAAAAATAAAAAAGGTAGGGGACACTGTATGGTCGTGTCAGACCGTTGGTGAAGACTCTGAAAGGTAGTGCCATAACGTGGTAGAGGACACTGGAATCAAATGTCGGGACAGTTTATGGGGTCATGTCGGACCGTTGTAGAAGGTGCACCCTCAAAAGGCGTGCCCAATTGTATCAAAAGGCGTGCCATCAAAAGGCGTGCCCACTTTATCAAAAGATGTGCCATGAAAAGGCGTGCCAGTTTGTCGGATGTCAAGAGGCGGCGATGCGCGTGGCTGCCTCCGGCTATAAGACAGAGGCTGAGGCTTGTGAAAAACCTCTGAAAAAAAACGTCGTTGTGCTGAGAAAGAGAGTCTGAAAAACTCTTCGTTGTGCTGAGAGAGAGAGTCTGTAACAACTCTGTTGCCCAGAAAAAAATGGCCTCGTCCTCGTCTTCCCGTGGACTGCTCACCTCTTCCCGACCTCAACGAGTCAACGAGAGAGAGAACTGGTGCGGTGCACTGGAAACTCAACCAAGCGCCCCGGAGTAATACTCCGTTGAACTTTCCGATGCGGTCTGTGGAGCAAAGAATGCAGTGCTGTCGGATGTGGAGGCCAATCAGTATACTTTGAAGGCATGTGTGGAGTCCATGACGCGGTCACAAACTTGTCGCACCGGCTGCAGAGTAGGACAAATGAGGTGCAGCAATTAAACGCCCAGCTGGCTCTGCTCCAACGCATGTATAAGGATGCGCGAGAGATAAGCGTGCTAAGGGCAGAAAACAAGGAGCTGAAGCGGAAGGCCACCGATGTTCCGATTTGGAGGTCCGCCGTATGCTGCAGTGGAGGAGCAGGAGTAGTGATCGTGCCCAGTGGAATGGGAAACACGGAGACGGACTGGCACGGGACACCAAGATAAAAGTAAGAAGAAGAGACCTGCAGTAGAATAGAGAAGGGAAAAGAAAAATCCCATTGTGGGTGTGGTGTTTTGTTTGTTTGTTTTTTTTTTTTTTTTGTTTTTTTTTTTTTTTTTTTTTTTTGTGTAAAATGATGATCGGGTGAGGCCCGATATGAATAAAATTTTGCAGTTCGTCTTCTTCCTCCGTGTTGGTTTTGTTGTTGCGTGTTTTTTTTTTTTGTTTTTTTTTTTTTTTTTTTTTTTTTTTAATAAAATAAATAAATAAATAAAAAAATAAAAGAAAAGAGAAAAAGTGGAGCAACGTGGATGATAATGTTTTGGGAGTGGAGAATAAAGAAAAGAAAAGAAAAAAGAAAGGAAAGGAAAGTGGGGAGGTGGATTTTAAAAATCCCGTGGTGGAGGACAAACATAGTGGGTGATATGAGATACAGAAAGCTCTCACTTATAGAGAGAGAAAGTAATGGATTCGGATCAGGGGAAGCTCTTCATCGGCGGGATTTCGTGGGAGACGAATGAAGAGAAGCTCAAGGACCATTTCGAGGCCTATGGTGAGGTTTTGCAGACTGTGGTGATGAGAGACAAGACCAATGGAAGGCCTAGGGGTTTTGGGTTTGTTGTTTTTGCAGATCCTTCGATCCTTTTTGGGTTTGCAGATCCTTCGATCCTCGAGAGGGTTCTTCAGGATAAACATCGCATCGATGGTAGAACGGTGGAGGCGAAGAGGGCCATGTCAAGAGAGGAACAGCAAACAGCCCCCCGAGGGCCATAGTCGGCGTCGTCAAGGAGGATGTCGTCGGGGAACCGGAAGAAGGTTCTGTTCTCCGACGTAAGTGCTTATGAGGTGGAGTTGGGAACAGATGGAAGGCACTGCTTTTGTAAAGCTGGTGATCTGCTGGCCGTGGTTGAGGAAGGATGTTGATGTTGATGTTCAACCTCTTTAGAGAATTAACTAGCTGCTTTGGCAGCCATTGTTATGGGAACCGGTGTTAATTTGGGAGCAATATTGTTGGTTGAATGTTTACTGTGTTCAGAAACAGGGCAACAAACTGCCAGGGAATCAACAAACCGGCGATTCGGCGCCTGGCTCGGAGAGGGGGGGTCAAGAGGATTTCGAAATCTGAGTGATGATGAGATGGCTTAAACCGAGATCGCAGAACCAGTTTGGGCTCTGAGGACGCGACGTGGTGTGGACGAGCTGGGTGCCTCAATTCAAGATACTGAGTCACGACTCAGTGGGTGGGTTTAGTGGCAGCGGAGTAAGGTATGTGTATGTGATATGTGTTGAAAAACTCCCGCGGGCAGCGAAGGCAAAAGGTGCCGGCCGGCTGCCCGCCGGAAAGAAAGGAGTATAGGCCTAAATCTTATTGCTCTGATACCATGTAAAAAAATGATGTAATATTGATTGATTGATATTGTGTAAATTACAGATGGTGAGGTACTAATTATATAGGAGAGGATTGGGGAGTAGGTGAGTGTGTGTGGTAGGTGAGTTGAGTGGAGGTGGTAGGTGAGGATATATTCTAACAGTTCCTCCTGGCACCTCTGGCAACCTCAACGCCTGCCCTTGCTATGCCACCCTCACCACTCACTACAATCAACGCAAATGCCCTTGAAAACTACCTAGTTCTGTTTTTGTTGCGAGCAATGCTAAAAAAGCCGTTTAAATTTACAAAACAATGCCAATAAAAAAAACATGAAAGTACGAGTAATTCATGTATTAGAGTTGTGTAGGCGAGTCTTGTACTTCCATGAATTTGAAATTTTTTTTTTAATTTTAAATTTCTCACTTTTTTGATATTCTCCCTAAAGTCATTATAGTTTTTGGATATGTAATTTTGTTGTTGTTGTTGTTGTTGTTTTTTTTTTTTCTTTTCTTCTTCTTGTGTGGGTTGTGATTTGATGATATAAATGGTGCTCAATAAAAACTTGTAAGAACATTTTAGAGATGTCAAATTTTTTGTGACAGTTTGACATCTTATAATTTTTTGTCTCTAAAAATAAAGAACTCTACACAATATGCCGAATTTATTATTTTATTTATATCTTACTTTTTCATTTCGTTTTTTCTATGAAATCTGAAATTTATTTTTATTGGGGAACCCCCTATTAAGTTAATTAAAAAAAAAATCTAAATATGTTGTCACATGCTAGAAAAACCATTGTGTAACCTAAATTCATTATGAAAATATATGCATATATTTCACACACATGCTTCCAAGATAATCCCGAGTCTTTTGACAAACCAAAAATGGGACATTGAATCTATGCCCCACCCTTATGGAAAAATTATTGAGGGTACCATGTGACATTGTTGGATGGTATCTTCCATCAATCACAGATGCACACTTAATATAGATGTAATGAACCACATTGTTGAGTCAATCACGGTAGATGAAGGTACCGCATGACATCTACACTCTGCACACAAAAATTTCATGGTCCTATGATCATGTCCAACATCACCTTCTAAGACCAAGCTCACACCTTTCAACTGATCATGGCGACCAAATGCACAACTAGTTTGCCAATAAATTACATCTACTGATTTATTTGTATACCCAAAATCACTACACAAATTGAAAGTAGAAATTTGATCATTACAATTGAAATTCGCCTTTATACACGATTGCATGCAAGCATGTTCAACCGATCTTAGAGAAGACAGGAATTTCAAAATACAAAAATTCAAGCCAATACAATTATAAGTAAAAAAATATTGGAGGGCAGCATTGTAAAGAGCAAATCAAAATTAAAATCAAACCAGTAATGTTTTGAGAGTCAAAATGATCAGAAAAAGAAGTATGAAGTGGTGGTGAGTAGGTTTTTGGCTCAAGCTTCCATTTGGTAACATAGGGAATGTGTCTGGAAGAGGCATTTCACAGTTGTCACCATTGAAATAAATTCTTTTTGGAAAGGCCCATCCATTTCTCAAGGTGAATGACTTCGAGTCCTTTTCCAGGAGTACCTCTGTTGTCACTGAGCCCGGTTGCTTTTCATCCGCAGTCAACAGCTGACTGTTGTAGTGTTCTAGTCCCCAGAAGAGTGCAACTTCATCTGCAAAATTCCCATGAATGAGAATTTCAAAAACATCTAGTACGAGAAAGGAAAACGGGTTGAAGCAATAGTTTTAGTAAAATGGAAGGATTCGGACAAGAAAACGTTTTCTACAATCATGAAAACAGGCTTTCTAGATTTCGCATCTAATTGAATAGTGGGAATATGAAAACCAACTGTAGCAGTCAAGTAATGCCCTTTGATTTCACTTCTTTCAGCATGTGCTTTATACATTACTTTTGCACGAAATAAGAAAGTCTCTCCAATGCATAAATGGTTGGAAGTTCACGTTTCTCATCATATTTGGTAAAATCAAGCCTACTATGGAGACTTTCATAAATTGCTCTGCCATAACATTTAGCATATAACCCCAATCTAAGTTTAGTGGTACATCCCAACAAGGAATGGCCGTGCTTGTTCAATTTATTTCTCATCTTTTGTGAATTATTAAAACCCAACTCATCAGACTGACAGATTTTTAGTTTCTAATCTGAAGCCAGTAATGAAAAGAAAGTCTACATTTTTTTTAATCTTTTGGTCTATTGGGATTTGGGAAATAATCCTGATTGCATAATCTTTTCCTAGAAATACAACAAACAGCGAGGATAGAGAATTCAATTATTAGGCAGTTTGATTAATATGCTGCCGTCATTGTCAACAAGTTAGCATATCACAAAATAGTACAAATGAAAATACGGACTAATGTCACAACTTTGTTGAGTTATATATCAGGTTTCCGAGAGCAACTCCAACACTAATCGGCAATTTGCCTAACAAAAGTACATAAAAAAGTATACTTCGTATTTTGTCTAACCACTTTGCCTACTGTATACTCCAACAACACTTTCTATTCTTGAAATTGGTTTAACTAGGTTCCAAAACTCTTCAAATGTAGCTAGCCAAGAGAGGATGACGTAAAATGCGTACTGTGTTGTCTATGATGTTGGAGCTCCATTCTGTGATAAGGCTATGCAAAATGCCTAAAATTCTCTAAATGCTTCGCCCATTGAAGATCCTCTAGGCTCTGCCCATACAGTCTCAAATTTGCAAGGTTTGGGACCATAGGTGCCACAACTTTGGCATAATTGTGCAAAAATGCTCTAATGATCTCTCAGAAAAACACACTGTTAACTGCAAACTTTCCCCACAAAACATTGGGATATTTCATGGCTCTAAACTAAATTAGTGGCCATTTCAAAAAAGGGCGACCCAATGCATAAGGTTCTCAATAAAGCGGGGACTGAGAGAACAAAAACTTGTCTCATGTGATACTGTTTTGACACCGGTAGCACAGTGATTCATAAATGTATTGCTAGGCTGTGCCCCAAAAAAAGGCTCATAGGAGAGGATCCAATTGCTTGATCAAAATACATACAGGCACAATGATATATGTATTTATCTCTATATATCTGTCGTTCTCTGCTTATGGAATTTCTGGTAATTTGAGTTGAATTTGAATACTGCTTTACTTCACAAACTCTAATCAAAATTCAATTAGTAAAAATCTGTTTTTGAAAGTGAAGTGAAGAAGTAGTATGAAGTACCTGTGATGCCAAATACTTGATCAACATACATACATGCACAATAATATATAGGAATCCTATTTTCCTTAATCCCTTTCCTAAAAGAAATCCTTAAACTTTTTTTTTTTATAATTATAGTTATTTATTATTGGATTTGATCCACTCCTTTTATTGATTGTATAGTATCTCAAAACACACAATACCTTCTCCGCTCCTACTGCTGTCCGGTTCTTTTGTCATTTTGAATCTAAATAGGCACAATTCAGTTCAGTTGAAGTACAAAACTCCTCCCCTTTTTGAATCTAAATAGGCACAACCCAGTTCAGTTGACGTACAAAACTCCTCCCCCTTTATCTTCTTCCTACCATCTGGGGGGAGAGGATGAGATGGAATAGCATGTCATTTTGGAACCATTCATGAGTGCGGCCCGTTAGAATGTGTTAGGATATGTACCATTTTTATTCGTTCAGTCTCTATATTTGCTGTAATGGGCCTTTATTTACGCCTTAACTTATGTTTATGATTTAATATAAAAGGGTATGATTAACCACTCACACCCTAATCTTTTCTCTTCTAAAATTAACATAGTATTAGAGCTGAACTAGAAGAAGAAAAAAAAAAAAAACAAACTGTAGCCGTAGCCGTACCACCACCAAGCCACAGCACCACCACCACAGCCCGCAAGCCCCCGGCGAAGCCACCTAGGGTTCCGACAGCCCAAGTCGGAGTCACGACTCCAGTCGCAGGCCTAACCTAGGGCTCCGACAGTCCCAGTCGAAGGCCCCTAGGGTTCCGACAGCCCCAGTCGGAGTCGCGACTCCCGTCGAAGGCACCCTATGGTCTGTCCTCGTGGACATCTCTCTCGGTCTCTACATGTCACTCCGTCTTCATCTTTCTCTGTATCTTCGTCATACGTAAGCCTCTCTGAGTCTGTAATCTCTCTCTGTCTTCTATAAAAAAAAACAAACAAAAAAAAAAAAAACCAAAAAAAAAAAAAAAAAAAAAAAAAAAACAAAAAAAAAAAAAAAAAAAAAAAAAAAACCCAAAAAAAACAAAACGTTCTATTAAATTTATTTTAAATTCATTATTATTTTTTTCCTATCTTTCGGGTTTGTGATTCACTCTGGATGTGTTTGTGAGGGTTCCGTCGCGACGTCATTATGGCCGAATTGACTAGTGAGTCTACTACCTCGTAGCCTGCTACACAGGGCGCGAGTCCTCTTTTGACTACTTCGATGACCGATTCTCTCCACCCTGGCCAGAAAATCACCACCTCTCTTTAATGGTCAGAATTATCTAGCGTGGTCACAGAGTTTGACTATAGTTTTGAAGAGTAAAGGGAAGATGGGATATGTTGACGGGAGTGTTCAAGCTCCCAATATCACCGATACAGGTTATGATCAGTGGGAGATTACCAATTCTCGTATCATGGGTTAGTTGATACACTCTATAGCTCTGAAGATCGGTGAGGGATACTTGTCTATGGACACAGCACAGGATATTTGAGAGGCTGTGGCCACTACGTATTCCCGCAAAGGTAATTTCTTACAGACTTTTGAGTTACGACGCTTTATTGACCGGTCTGTTCAAGGTGAGATGACTATTCTCCAGTATTTTACTTTCCTTAACAATGGGTGGAAGCGACTTGATCATCTTCAGGACTACAAGCCTGTCTGTCCCACAGATTCTACTGGTTACCGAAAATTTGTTGAACAAGTGCGGGTCTTCAAGTTTTTGGAAGGTTTGAATGTGGAGTTTGATCCTATTCGGAGTCGTGTGCTTGGTATGGATGCTCTTCCTTCTCTCCAAGAAGCGTTTGCTTATGTGCAGAATGAGGAGAGTCGTCGTTCTGCTATGCTTCCGGCTATCTCGTCTAATCGATCTGCCCTAGTTTCTGCCCCCTCTCGAGATGGGGATCGTGGTTCTCGCCCTCCTTCTGAGAAGGATACTCTCTTTTGTGATTTTTGTCGTCGCCCTCACCACACTCGTGAGACTTGTTGGAAGTTGCATGGGCAACCATCTGGAGGTCGTGGAGACCGTTCTAGTTCTCGAGGGGGTCGCTCCGGACAGGCTCGAGGCCGTGGGCCCAATGCCCGAGCCCATCATTCTGATACAGTTGAGCCACAGTCCATAGCTCCGGTTGATTCATCTGCTGATATCTCGGGGTTTGCTACTTCTGAGTTGGAGGTTGCTCTTCACCACTTGCTAGACCGCCGGGCCTCTAGTTCATCTTCAGGTAATATTGCCCAGTCAGGTAACTTAGCTTCTTCTACAAATGCTTTCCTCTCTCATCAAACGTTACCTTGGATTATCGATTCTGGTGCTTCCGACCACATGTCTGGTTCTTCTGATTTGTTTTCCGCGTATACCCCTTCTTCAGGGCAGGATAAAGTTCGAATTGCTGGTGGTACCATTTCTTCTGTGTCTGGAAAAGGTTTAATTCATGCCACTGCTTCTCTCCCTTTATCTTCTGTCCTACATGTTCCCAATTTTAGTGTTAATCTTTTGTCTTTGAGTTGTATTACTCGGGACTTAAATTGTAGTGTGACCTTTTTCCCTGACCATTGTCTATTTCAGGACCTTATCACGAGGAAGATGATTGGCAGTGGTAGACGCGAGAATGGTCTCTATATCTTGGATCAAGCAGACAAGCTGGCTCACTCATCCATTCAGTTTCCATCTACCAAGGAAGACATCTGGCTGTGGCACCGCTGTCTTGGGCATCCATCTTTTTTGTTACTTAAGCATCTTTTTCCCTCTGTTTTTTTGAAAAATAATGTTTTTGAGTTTCATTGCGAGTCGTGTCAACTTGGCAAACAACACAGAGCTTCTTTTGCTCCTTCTATTAATAAAAGTTTAGTTCTTTTTTCTTTGATTCATTCTGATGTATGGGGTCCCTCTCGTTTTGTGTCTTTAAAGGGTCAACGATGGTTTGTCACCTTTATTGATGATTGTTCTAGGACCACCTGGGTGTATTTTATGAAGGACAAATGTGAGGTGTTTTCTGTGTTTCAAAATTTTCATAAAATGCTTTGCACTCAATTTGGGGCAGTTGTCAAAATCCTGCGTTCTGATAATGGGAGGGGGGGGGAATACATTGATTCTGGACTTGCCAGCTATTTTGCCACTCATGGTATTATTCATCAAACTTCTTGTACTAATACCCCTCAACAGAATGGTGTTGCCGAGCGTAAAAACTGGCATCTTTTTGATATTGCACGTTGTTTATCCTTTGAAATGTGCATTCCTCGATCCTTTTGGGTGGAAGCGGTTCTCACTGCTGCGTTCCTCATCAATCGGCTTCCTACCCAGGTTCTTCATAAACAAACTCCTCTTCAGGTTTTGTTCGGCTTCCAAGCTTCTACTGCCTTCTCTATTCCTCCCAAAACCTTTGGATGTGTGTGCTTTGTTCATAATCATTCTCCTACCCGTAGTAAGTTGGATCCTCGGTCTCTTCGGTGTGTCTTCTTGGGTTAC